CCTCATGTGGAGTGGAGCTTTCTGCACTCCTCCTCAGACTTGACGTCAGTCGCTGTCTGATCATCTCTTCATCCACTGCGCGATGAGGGATGATATTCGGGCACGGTCACAGACCTCGCAGTACTTAAGATTATGCCTCCCACTCATATCTTTCTCACGCCACAGCCATAGGACATAGCGTAGCTGCTTAGCTGTTGGTCCTGTATTGGCATGCGCAAGCTCTGCCAAACGTCCACCAAGTCGACATACTTGATCATCTTTTAGCCCGGACACGGGCAGGGCTTCTGTGCGTAAGCCTTCGCGTAAACTTTCGCAAGTCATAAGTCTGCAAACATCCTCGCTGATGCGAGCGATCTCATCCCAAGTAGCGACTGCTGCTTGTCTCGATGCCCTCGACTCAAGTGAGGATCTCGTAGGCTGCAGTCCCGGACTTGGTGTTCGAGGCGGCTCACTCGTAGGCGTAGACATCGCTGTCCATGGTGTGCTCGGATGACCTTGGTCGTCACTGACCAAGTCGCTGGCATGCCTTGACTCCCTATCCAGTACCCGTGTAGCTCCGCGTAGCCGTAAGGTCGCCGATGACAAAGGTCTTGCTTCTGGCATTGCCTCAGACCCAGACTGGGCCTGCGTTGTAGGTTCATCCCGCTCACCACCACGAATCCTGTCCAGCTCTCTCTCGATCGCCTCTGTAGTCGCTGCTTGTAGTTTCCGCAACTTCTTGAGCTTTCTCTTGCTTGCGCCCGGGGTATACTCGTGGTAGAGCTCGAGACACATCCACTTTAGTCCTTCCCAAATCAACAAAGCTCCCAAGCCCATTAAGGATAGCATCATCACACCAATCAAGTCACTATCCACCTGGATCCCAGATCCCCGCGAGGAGGAAGAACTTGTATCCTCTGACGCTTGTACTGATAACACCAACAGACAACACACCAATGCCACCGTCAATCTTGATCTCCCATTGACCACTGCTACTGCTGGGGCGGGAGCTCGATCATCACCTCCGACCCCCCACAAAGTCAACAAAGAGGTCATCCTTGCGTAGCTGAGGGCCTTGGTAAGTAAGTCAGCTGGCTGTACCTCTCCAGGGCAGTGCCGCGCATGCATAAGGCCATGAGTGATTTGTTCCTGCAACCACCCTGCTTTTATACGTAGGTGACGAGTTCTCCATGACGTAGAACCCGATGATATACTCAAGGCGGCCATGCTGTCCGATGCTATCTCCTTGGTTTCCACCACTTCGCCAACATCAAGAAGTAGTGCTTCCACTCCTTTCATGGCAATAGCCCCATCTATCATCGAAAGTAGCTCCGCTTCCGCGGTAGACAGGGTAATCATCTGCTGCCTTCCACTTCTCCACACTATTGGAACTCCTCCAAACGTAACGACCCATCCGCCATGCGACCTCCCGCCTTGCGGTGCATAAGCCGCGTCACAGAACATCACCAGTCCTGCGTCTGACCAGCGCACCTTCAAACCGTACTTGATGGTCTTGAGAAGGTAGCCAATAGCCTTGATCCCAGTTTGTATTGCCTGAGAAGGAGTTCGCGTACACATACTCGCCATCATTGATGTGGTGTATGCCAGATCCGGCCTCGACCGCTGCGCCACCCACAACACTTCTCCTGTAAGCTGCTGAGCATCCTTGATTGCACTCTCACTGATGCCCTCCTCCTGGTCAGAGATCATAGCCAGCTCTTTGGTTATCGGCACCCGGCTCACATTGGTGGGCTTGATGCCATGTGTCCTTACCAACTCCTGAATAAATCCCTGTTGGTGCACTGTGATCTCACCCATTGTTTCCGTCTCACGATGAAGCTCCATCCCAAGAAACCGCACTGCTGTTGTAGGTCCCAGCACTGTAAGCTCGGACGTATCCCAAACTTGCTGAATGATCTCGGTCAGCTCTAGCACCACTTCGCGAGGACCACATAGCAGAAAATCATCCACATACACAACAACGATGGCTTGTACCGCACCTTCCTTGTCTCTCAGTGTCCACCATGATGTGATAGCGCGGCCCTGCTTCCACTTTAACCCCCTCGGAGCCGTCATAGTCTGCATTGTCGCGTCCCTGTAAGTTGTCCACAGCCTCGGCGCCTCTCTGAGTCCGTAAAGAGCCCTCACCAGAGCCCATAATTCGAAACGCTCTGCTAGCCCCAGGGCCTCAAGTAATCTGGGCGGCTGCGCAATCACCACTGGGTCTGTGGACTGGCGTCCCAAAGGCGTTTTCAGGAACGCGGCCACCACATCAAGTATGGCAATGAGCCATTGGTTGCGGCTGGCAATGGCCAGCGCTGCTCGTACAGCTTCTGCTGGAGCTGTCTCCGCATACAAGGAGGTCTCCTCCGCACGGGCCATGTTTCCACAGATCACCAGTCGGGCCTTTCTCTTGTACCACGTAGACTTGTCTTCTTGTACTGCTCCATCATTCGGCTTCACGGTAAAGACGAACTTCATCGGGAGTCGCTGGACACCCGGTGCATTCACCCACTTCTTTCTCGCATCCGACCCTGGCAACAGTCGCTCGATTGCTACCTCAACACCCTTCACCTCCTTGACAATCGCCGCTCGCCATGCCTCCAAGTTAGACATAACTTCATCTGGGCTCACGTTGTGGACCACTTCTAGCGGACTTGTAAGCTTCTGTAGAACTTGCTCGATATTCTTGGTATAGCCCACCTCAGCTTTCTGGACCCTTGGAATCACGTCCGGCTCGTTGTCCTCTGCAATCTTCACCATTCCAGGTCCCAAGTCCAGGTACATTATCCATCCATCTTGCTCATGTAATGAAGTAGCTTGTCCACTTCCATTGGAATCCTGCATCGAGTTAACACTGGGCTTTGTCCCTTCTGTCTTTAAGTCACCATAGAACTCTGGTAGCTGAGAAAGTGGAACAGGGAAATGATATTCATGGAGGGAATGTATATCATCTTGTGACAATTTTCCCAGACAGTCCGGCGTATAACCAATGACCACGATACGATCGCCTTCCCATTCAGAGACTTCATGGTAGCGCCTTGGGCCAAATTCCAAACCTTCACCTTGACGTAGAGGTCGAAGTTGTCCATACTGGTGCTTTTCACCAGCACAGCGCTGCTCTATTTGACCATGAACTACATCTCCCTCCTTGAGCTCGATCCAAAGGTCACCGCCACGACTTGGAATGCAGATCGGAACGACATAGTTCTTGGTGTTATAGTCATTGTTGATGTCCTTGTGCATTTGCTTTGGCGTATTGTTTGACACCAGCACAGACGTAAACGCTGCATCTGGGATCACCTCAACAATGACTCTCACCAGCAACTTCGTCAGCGCAGGGTACTCGATAATCCCCGCAAGCCATCCCACCGATCCTCCATGTCGATATACTCCAAACTTCTTGTCAGCAAAGAACTTGGTCCCAGCCAGCTGCTTAACCAAGTCGCATGCCTGATTGTGATCCCAGTCGCGTAGAAGGGCCTCCGCGCCCGCTGTAGCGATTTCGTGCACCTCCTCCGGGACCTTCTTCAGGACCTTCATTTCCACATCCGCCATGTCTGTTTTTCCCAACACTCGACGCCTCGGTCTTGGTATTTCATCTGCTCTTAACTCCACGTCAGGTCCCCCAGGATCCACCAGATTTGGCCGAACATGTAGGGTATGGAAAAACTTCTCCTTCTCCTCCCCCTCCTGTGGTACGTACACTAGATGACCTCTCTGAAGTATAGTGCTAAGGCCAACATAGCGTCCACTATGCCATTTCGACTCCAGTGTTTGCTCCCGCTTCAACGGACCATACTTGTCAAACGGCTTTCTTCGTAGATGTACAGTGGAACCATATGGCGCAGCCAAGTAGCTCTTCCAACCCAGCACTCTTGAGCGCTGCATGGCGCACGCAGCCTCCGCTGCCGTAGGCCACAACTTGGTAGGTAGCGATGCGCTCTTCAAGTAAGTGCGGATTGAGTCTTTAACCCATTTAACTGTCGACTCAGCGTGTCCATTGCTTTGTGGGACCCCTGGCTCCGACCATGTTCCT